AAAAAAAAAGTTCGGCAAAAGGTGGGATCGAACCCGGGTCAATCATGTCAAAAAGCCAACAACACACTTATCCATCTGCGCCACTGGAGCTGATGTTTTACAGCCCCTTTTAACTAAATCTAAATAGACACTCCGTATTTTTTATTCCAGAGTAAGGGCAATTCATACAATACATTTAAACTGAGCTACTTTAATACTATCTCCGAACTTTCTACCACGACTCTGCTGTTCTTCGGCTGGTTCTTCCTGTATAGGTTGATTGGCAGATGTCTCGTCCAGTCAGCGGTGAGTAATCCCAAACCAATGGCGCTGTCTCAAACTATACCTACCTCTTCCGGTTTGTCGGATTTGTCGTTGTGTTTTCTGACTTGTTATTTTGTTTTCGAATTTGTCATTGTGTTTTCTGACTTGTTATAATGTTTTCTGAATTGTTGTTGTGTTTTCTGAATTGTTATTTTGTTTTTTAGACTTGCATTTGCGTTTGTAATTTGTTATTTTGTTTTCCGAATTGTGATCTGCTTTGCACTTCTCGGCCACCATAGTTTGTAGTAACTCCCGCACTTCTCTTTTTCCTCTCATGTAGCACTTAAACATATTGCGCTGCCTGCTGAAAGCTGAGGATAGACTCTAGATCAGGGGTTCACAGATCACATGTGAACAAGCTAATCAAGGTCTTCGGGATTACTAGAAAGTTACAGGCAGGTGAGACTGGAGCTACAGTAAACTCTGCAGGAAAGTGGACCTCAAGGGCCAGAGTTGACAAACCCTGCTCCAGATTTCAAGCAAAGTTAGTAACTGATGCACTTCCACACTTCTTCCAGTACATCACACTTTTATTTACATCTCTATTTCACTAGTAACGGGATCTGGGGGGCAACTGTATTAAGTTTTATCAATCACAAATAAGCATATTTTGACACTTAATCAGCACATGCTCAGTAGAGCTCTTTCTCTCTTTGCTTGAGAAGATGATGTGTGATCATTTCACTTTTTGAGAAACTTGTTGTATCAGTTATACAATAAGTTGATTTTGAGATATAAAAAATATATTTTACATATTCAACCATTTTCATCGGCTGTCAGAAGTTTACCTGTGATGTGAAGAAAAATCCCAGAGAGAATCAGAGGTTAAATCATATCTATAGCAGAGTGCATGTGCATGAGAGGACCTGGTCACTTCTTGCAGTGTCTCTGCTTCTTCCTGTTTCAGAGGAAGAGCAGAAATATCACCTTAAACCACATAAGCATTAGCAAGTGTGCAAAGTAGCCACTTTGCAGCCAGCAACCTCACACAACACAACAAGAAATCAAAATTTTACTTATGGGTTCTAATTTGATTTGTGAATATAGTGGTATAATGTGGATCAATAGGTTCTCTTCTTCAATTTGATACAACATTTACTCAAAATGTGTAAGAATTACATAATTAAGGCTGAGCAGATGACTTTCTCCATTTACTGCGACTGATTGAACGAAATTTTACTATATCCGCCACTAATTTAAAACAACTGGGAAAGTGATTAAAGCACACAAACTGTGTTTAAATGTTAGTTTATTTTTTATTATTATTGTTCAATAAATTTCATAATTTGAGCTCTTTCACAACACATTTTTTTGTTGTTGTTTATTTTCTGTTTACATTTTTTTTATTAAAATGTTTCAAATAAAATGGGGTGGAGTTAAGGGAAGGGGTTCATGGGCGTTGGTATAAATTATTTTAAAAAAGGCCAAATTTGATTAACAAAAAAAATGCATGTTTAAAGTACAGAAGCCTAAGTCTAAGTACAGTAGCAGTGCTTAAACATTCAAGCAGAAACACTGACTTCTGCTCCACTTACAGTGCTGTTCACTGCCGATCAGCAGCAGACCACAGAGTGCAGGCCGAAACACATATATGAGCCGCCCACAAAGTGTGTGATATATATATATACAGTGTGAGCAGACCATCTTTGTTGACGGCCATTCAAAATGAGTGTGTATACTAAATCCGCAAGTAAAACAGCAAAATACTGCCAGGGCTGCGTGTGTATACTTATTAGAAAACAAGGGATAGGACAAATATAGGAACCTGAAACCAAGACACATACAACTGCAAAATACTTTTATTTTATTTTAAATATGCTTGTTTGTATTAATGCAAACAACATAACACTGTACAAGTAAACTTACAGTGAAGAAATTAAGCACAGATATAATACAAAAAACTACAAAAAAATTTGTGATGATAGTCCTCTGCTGCTGATTTTGTTTCTTTTGGTCAGAAGGTTCTGTTCCTGTGTTCTTCTCACTGTTGTAGTCAGTGTGGAGCCACAGTGCTGTATATTGCTCCACCTGCTGGAGGCTTCACCGCTTCACTCACAGGAACATCATCAATAGTACTGTAGTAGATTATTACCTTGTTGGCATCCTGTAGAAAAAGGGATTGTATAATAAACATGATATATTCATGTCTGAAATGTCATCACATCAGTGCATGTATGGTCTACTTACATTTGGGTTTTCATCATTTATAGTGCTGTATATCGGAGGATCTTCAGGTTTAGAGTAGATCTGCATTTTATGCACAAACAATACAGAAAAAAATATCAAGAAATCAACATATGACTAATTTAATAAACTACAGGTTTCATGGCCAAACTAATGCATATGAGAAGTAAGGAGAAAAAACAACAAATACATTTTCTTGTCTTATTTTGATCTAAAACGTTTTTTTCTCTAGGTGGATCTTAGCATTTGCTGAATGAGAATGAATTTGTTGTTCACACCAGATTTAAAATTCTTATTCATTGAAGAATACTGCACACATGTTAGCACGTGTGTGCAAATGGTAATTTGGACTTACTACAATTTGTACAACAACTAAATGCACATTGCTTGCTTGATTCCCAATGCAGCATGATTTGTTCAGTTATCAAAATCAGTCAGACTTACATGTATATTTCATAAATATCTATGACATGTGTATTATGTCTGCTTTTGACCAGTGCAGCTCACACGATGACAAATAAACTTTGGAGCATTGGCCAATTTACTGACACAATAACTAAGTTTTGAAGTATGAATGAAATGTTTTGGGTGAGTTACTACATTTGCAGACATGATGCAGACATGGCACAGAGTGCTGAAGTCTCATAAGACAGAGCAGAAAATTACACTTACAGTTTAGAGAACGATAGAGATGTTAGAGAAAGTTTCAAAATATAAACCAAAGCAACTGTCAAACAAACATTTTCAGATATAGATTCTCATAAACTAATGGACTTACCATGTCAGTGGTTCTGCAGCCCTTTATCTCTCTGATTTGCTGTTTGTCTTGCTCTTCATTTAAAAAAAAGAGAAACAATAATTTATGACTAACAGAATTGATATACTGTACATACAATCTGTGCTGATTAAGTAAATTATTAAATGGCATGGAATTAAATGAATAAAAATGTAGGTTGAACTGACCGGGTCTCCGTCTCAATCTCCAGGTGAAGAGAATCAATACACTGATCAGAATCAATAACAGCAGAAGTACAGCTGAAACCAGAAGCCACACAGTCAGGAGTTCATTATTTCTGTGGAAAATACAGAAACATTCTAAAAATCTTTTCATTCAAAGAGCTCCAAAGATATGGGACTAATTCAGCTGCATAAAAGGCACCAGAAAATGAGCCATATCTGAAATAAACTTTCACCAGAACTCTGTTAATGTATTTCAGCCTAATAGTTTTTTTTTTTTTTCAAACAATGTAGTACTTTTGTGGTCTGTCAATGATTTCTGTTGTATTATCATTATTCATGTGATGTCCTGTTTCACTTCTGCAAAGGCTAAAAAATCACAAAGGCAGTTAGGAAATGATTGTTAGAGTAAAAGGCAAAAGAAATCGAGGAAATAGTGCATGACGACAAAACAGATATAATACAGAATAATTCTAGGAAGAACAGGAGACTGAGAAACGTCAATGAGAAATGTTTGAATACTAACGTGTCTTTCTCTTTGTCTGGTTCTGCCTTGATTACAGTAAAATGAACAGGATTCAGTTTCTCTCCAGCAGAACAGTAGTACCAGCCAGAATCAGTCAGTCTCAGTCCAGTCATCAGCACAGTGAAGGATCTTCTTCCATCATCACTGATCTGGACTGATGAATTCTGGGATGTGTTAGTCCTCCCCACAGTGTAACAGCTCTTATCTTCATATCTGCACCACTGTTTGAGTTTATCCTGATATCCAGAACTATAGAAACACTGAACACTGATATCACCACCTTCATGTCCAGATACACCGCTGCTCACCACAGACACATCTGGTTCTGAACACACACACACACACACACACACACACACACACACCAGTCATTTGATTTGATAAAACACATATTTGACATTAGAATTGATTAAAATAACTACAAAATCGTATACCAGATTGAACCTGGAGATAAAGACCATATGTGACAATTGCTTTTCCTTCAATCTTCATAGTACAATAATAGTGTCCATCATGTTTTGTGCTCTGCAGGTTTCTCATAGTCACAGTAAAGAGACTCTGATCAGGATGATCAATTACTGACAGATTCTCCTCTGTTGTGTTTGTGTATGTATTGGACATATCAATTTCTGAATGCCAGTATTTCTTCTGATGTTTGTATTCCCTCTCATAATAACATGGGATGGTGACAGATCCTCCAGGCTTAACAGTTAATATATTATATGACCCACTGCTGTAGCATATACCACCTAAACACACAACACACACACCTTTGTCATGTTCAGAGTGAACAATAAATTGTCTTCCCAAAAACACATTAAAAGCGACATGAACAACTAAGCATAAAAAGTATCATTACAAACAGGATTCATTAAAAACAGAGTCTAACATTTAATACTCACCTAAAAAAAGCCAAAACCAGATTGAAATGTAGAATATTTCTGTTTTATTGTATGTGTCCATTGTGTAAGTTTCTCTTCCCGTATCTGAGCTGTTTTAACTGCGTTTGTAGTAACTCCCGCACTTCTCTTTTTCCTCTCATATAGCACTTAAACGTATTGCGCCGCCTTCTAAAAGCTGAGAAAAGACTCTAGATCAGGGGTTCACAGATCACATGTGAACAAGCTAATCAAGGTCTTCGGGATTACTAGAAAGTTACAGGCAGGTGAGACTGGAGCTACAGTAAACTCTGCAGGAAAGTGGACCCCAAGGGCCAGAGTTGAGAAACCCTGCTCCAGATTTCAAGCAAAGTTAGTAACTGAAGCACTTCCACACTTCTTTCAGCTGCATCACACTTTTATTGATCTTTTATTGAGCTGGGTGGCAAGTGTATTCAATTTTATCAATCACAAATAAGCATATTTTGACACTTCATCAGCACATGCTCAGTAGAGCTCTTTCTCTCTTTGCTTGAGAAGATGATGTGTGATCATTTCACTTTTTGAGAAACTTGTATCAGTTATACAATAAGTTGATTTTGAGATATAAAAAATACATTTCACATATTCAATTTTTTCATCGGCTGTCGGAAGTTTTGATGTCCCTACCCCTTTAAGCGCCAACGCAAAAGTGCCCTTTCGGTCCGATCTAGGTGCATCTCCTAATTAGGACCATAAATAGATCAATTCTAAGTCTGCCCTTTAAAGCAAAGAAAATAAGCGATGGTAGAAGAATAGTTTATGCTAACAACAGGAAACTGTATATTCGTGCAGTGTGTGCATGTCAAAAGGTCAAATACGATTTGAAGCTTGTGCCGTATAAACGTACTGAACGGGACTAATAGATCGGTAGGGGTGTTGATGCTAATCCACCACGGGACTCGGGTAAGAAGTGAGACAGGAGACAGGGCACTGTTCAACTCTTTATCTGAAGTATTTATCTGTTCACAGCAGATGGCACAACATTGCTCCAATTGGATTGGATATTGTACAACTTATGGCCCCAAAGTGTTAAATGTGGTCTTTCTGAAATAAACAGAATAAAACAAGCATCAGTTTGCATCTGCTAAATGTAAATTACAGATATGTAAATAACAACTTGCTACTGACACTTTATACATGAATCAACATGTAAAGGAAAGGATTAACAGTAGCGAGCATACGCAGTTGAATCACCGTACATCTTATAATATGTACTACTTATAATATAACAACATTATAAGCAATGTAAGGTTCGATTACACAAGATGAATATTTAAACACAACAACGAAATAAACATTGTCGACTTATAATCAGGAATAATTAAATAAACGTACATTCAATCACGCACATTAACACCTGAAGAAATAGCGGAGCAAGCGGCTAGTGAAAGTTTAGCGTTTATATAAACACTACGTTCAGATTCATCAATCAGAATGATTTAATTCCAATTGAAGCAAAAGGTGTCCATGTAAACATAGCCTATATGAAACTTATGGTCATATGAGCAATGCCATTAGTGATGATGTGAAAAATGAGCCTTTTCAAAACTTTGAATCAATTGAACCAACTGCTTCACAAAATGATTCACTGTTTCAAAGTGCTCAGAATGCCACATGCTGGTGATTTCTGCTGGTAAAAACTACAAACCCAATTCCAAAAAAGTTGGGACACTGTACAAATTGTGAGTAAAAAAGGAATGGAATAATTTACAAATCTCATAAAATTATGTTTTATTCACAATAGAATATAGATAACATATCAAATGTTGAAAGTGAGACATTTTGAAATGTCATGCCAAATATTGGCTCATTTTGGATTTCATGAGAGCTACACATTCCAAAAAAGTTGGGACAGGTAGCAATGTGTGCACTAAACCGGAAGTGCCCAAGATTGTCCCAGGTCTGAAAAACGCCAAACCTCAAAGCACAGAAGCTAAGCGTATCCCATCATGCATCACGTTCAGGAACTCATTTGCCCTGAAATCTTGAAATGTTGAGAAAAAAATTCCACTGTAAGTTATATTAGTTCGATATTACACATATGTGGGTAGTAAAACAAAATGTGTTGCACATTTTATTTTGTGCAAGATGAGTGTGTATTTTGTACAACATTTGCAAATGCTTTTTACCACTTAATTAGAAGCACCACAATTACTAAATTGTGCCGTCTTGTTACATAGGGACTACTGAACAGACATTTAGAAGCTTATTTTAAACAGCAAAGTATTGAAAATCGAAATAACGCTCTGTACACTTGCATTTTTACAACACTGTAATCTGGTTATTAAAAGTTTTGCACACACTTGAGGTTTGAACACTTGAGCCAAATACAGGAAGTATGTCATGTAAGCAGACAAGCAGTCAAGTGCAAAGACCGCAAGTGTGGGTGTTTGGACGGGCCCATGGAGAAACAATATGATGTGAATGCTCATTTACTGAAATCTTGTGACTTTGGGAGTCTGATAGGCGCTCTGAATCACTGGTTTGAAACAAATGATTCACAAAGATTTTTGCTTCACCAAGCAATGTTTGGAAAGTACCCATCAATAGTTGCCATATCAAATGCTGTTGTTTTGAAAATGTATTGTAAACTGATGTTTTTCAAATAAATAACAGAACAAAATTTTACATTACAAGTCGTTAACATTTGACAAAGATTGCTAGTCTGGTAAGGTCAAAAGTTATAATGAAGTCACACTACTGTTAGAGAGCATCTATCGTTTACAAAAGTGTCAAGCAACTACAAAATATAAGGCTTATTATCAACACTTTTCTAATAATTTGATCCTCCTCTAGTTCTGTGATAGACAGAAATGCCATCAGAAAGATAAAATGCAATAGCACACCATCAAGATGATGTCACATCATGTAAATTTTGGATGTTCAAAGTCACAACAATATTTTATATTGTTACTTATAGTTGAGTTTTTAGTAAATCTCTGCTACTTAACTACATGACATTACACAACCCAGCTTAGCTTGCAAATCTAGGACCCAAACTGAAAGATTTTATTTACTTATTAGAATAATTTTGTAATTGAATGAAAAGAGTTTTATGGAAAATACATAATGTCTCAAATAAAACAGATAGATGGACGGACGGACGGACGGACGGACGGACGGACGGACGGATAGATAGATAGATAGATAGATAGATAGATAGATAGATAGATAGATAGATAGATAGATAGATAGATAGATAGACTGTAGTGAGGGGGGACTCTCTGTTCAGAAATATTGGCAAGCTATTATTTTGACAATTGCAATCCTCAATACCTTTGTCTTTTCCTTGCTCTTTCTTGTCTTTTCTTTTTAACAGTGCCTAGTAGCTCTCTCTGTTCATGGGCATCTAAAATTAATCAATAACACAAGTTAATCAATACATGCATTTGAAAATGCATTCAAATATGAATATTTATTCAGTTTAACACATATTTGTCAATGTTCAACATTCCTCATTTATCTGTAATAGAAATAAAATGCTAAAATGGTTATTTATACAGTGATACTGTTATTCGGTTTAATGGATGACACTGTGATGTAACAGAGAATTTGCATTACGCCAAATGACAAAAACATTACACTGAACGATGAAACTTCAACTTCAGCTTATACTACAGACAATCAACTGGCCACCTGTATCAAACACTGAGCACAATTATTCACAACATCTACTTATTTAAAAAAAAAAATCTAACAATAAAAGTGTTTTTTGGCATTTCACTGAATGACATGTTTTTGACGTGTTTTTGTAACTTCGGATACCACACTATGAAAAGGGGGAATTATCAAATATTTAAGAGCAATAAATTCAGTTTTCTGCAGCACCACGCGGTCTTCAGGGTGTCATCTGATGATGTCACAGACTGCTGAATGACTATCAGTTTTTTATATGATTTCAGAATGGCTTCTTGTTCCTGTTACACTGAATGACTTCTGACAACCCGCATTTTCGGGACAAAATGCACCTGGTTATTTCATAACTTAAAAAAAACAAAAAAACAATAAGTCATCCTTTTAATATAACACAGCCAACAGTTACTTAAAAATGCCAAGACAACTAATTAAATTTTTTACTTGATATTTTAAAGATTGTTCATCTGGAAAGCATCTGCTGTGTACAAACATCTAATAGACTTCTTTAAAGGGATCTTATTATGCTTTTTTACAAAGTCTTGATTTTGTTTTGGGGGTGTTCTAGAGCATGCTCTCATGCTTGGTGCATTATTTTTCACATAATTTGCATTATTAAAATAAATTTCTCCCCAGCCTGGCACAAACGGCTCAATTAGTTCCGGCTTTG